CTGGGAGTGGACCGAGTGGTGATCTATAACACCAGCTCCGGCCCAGATCTCACCCCCATTCTACAGAGTTACAGTGAAGAGGGTTTTGTAGAAATAGTTCCATGGCCCATCACAGAACATCTAAATCCATCTCCTGGGTGGCTCTTTTCAGAGCATGGAGGGGATATCCACTACTACGGGCAGCTCGCTACACTTAACGAGTGTATTTACAGATCTATGGAGCGCTCACGCTTTGTGCTGTTAAATGACATAGACGAGATCATTATGCCATACCAACATGAAAACCTGATGTCTCTGATGAACGTGCTGCAGCCACAGTATCCAAATGTAGGTGGTTCCCGTCATACATGTAAGAAGAGAAATATCATATTTGATTTTTTTTAACATATTCTCTTCTCTTTGTCCATCTTTAAAAACTCTACTCGCATTTTGTAGGTAGGAGAATTCCTCATTAAGAATCACATCTTTCCCAGGATGCGGTTTGAGCCAAGTGGGACGTTTCATCGGCCTCAGTGGAATGACGTACCAGGCATCAATATCCTGGAGCACATCTATAGGGAAGAACCTGACGTTAATATATATAATCCACACAAAATCATAATTCAGCCAAGGTATACTGGATGTTTTTTTCTAATTTTTTAAAATAAATTTCCATTAGAGGACATAGTCAGTTTTTTGTTTTTAAATAAACTACATAATGTTGGTGGTACATAATCTCTGTCTAAACACACATGCAATATTTGTGCCTGCATCACAGGTTGGTGATACAGACTTCAGTGCATGTGGTGCTCCAGCAATATGGACAAAGGTACATGGTTCCTCCAGAAGTCTGTCGAATCATTAACATTTCTAATTCCAACCGAAAGTTAACTCTGGATCAGTACCACGTGGACAAGCGACTCTGGGACTTCTCAGAAAAACTGATTCCAAATGTGGACAAGGTTCTGAGGAGAGCGGGGCTGTTGACGTAGGTGTCAGCAGAGCTGGAGGGACCCTCCTGGAGAGGACATTCACAGGCTGAAGCCAACAGTGAAGGTGGACTGCCAGTGGGAACATTTGTGTCAAAGCCTTCTTAAGATAAGATGGACTTCAAGGTATTGGTGCATCTGCTGAATATGGAAATACTGGAGTCACTTTTGTGGAGCCAAGGAACTGCTACACAAATTACTCATTCATATATTTGACTCAAAACTGTTTATTTTTAACTTAAACCAAGGTTCAGAACACGGTTAAAACAGGACTAGATCCTGACCCCCTGATCCCTGACTCTTCATAGTGGCACATCATTCACCAGCAGCCAAGAAACAACACATACCTGTTATAAAGTTAAAAAGTCATCAAGTAATTAATGAAAAGAATAAAAAGAACAGATTAACCGTAATTTCAATTTACTTAAGTTTGTCTGGGAAGTATCCAGCATCTAAGTTTAAATTCAAGAAAAGAAGGGAATCCTAATAATATGTTCTACTGTGTGACCTGAAAACATCAGCATGTCGAGACTGAGCTTCATTTATAAAATGAAGCCAATCTCCAGACATTTTCTTTTGCGTTCTTTATCAAGACTAAAGGGAAAAGACACCTGCACCTGCAGCAGCCGAGTCTGCATTTAAAACCGCTGAGGTGCTGATTGCATGGGCACTGACCCCCAAGTTTCTTCTGCTTGTGAAAACATGTCCAAAGGGTGTCATACTTTTGATTTATTATACACTAAAGGCTGTGAACACACCAGTGGTCTTGTGCTCTCCGACAACTGTTTCAGCTTGGCACTAGTAAATTAAATTGATTAACACTTTAGTAAAGCCAAGTAGTATATAGCCCATGTTAAATCAATTAAACTACATTTGTACAATCACAAATATTTGTACTGCATGCACAAGACTATCTAGAGCATTTATAGCATAATTTGCATCCAAAATTCAGATGTAAAATCTCTTCAAGCTTCCACTTACAGAGTACAGGAATGGCCTCAAGTATGCAAATACAAAAGAATGAATAAAATAATGGTTATTAGTATGTAATGGCAGCACTACACAAACCGTACATAGGTTGCCATGACCTGGTGAAAGATAATCCCATAAGAGCCATGGGTGAAGATCAAATTGAAGGCGTCCTATCCCGTTGCCAAGTAGGTGAAAAGTAGATGAAGATCTTCTGATATTAAAATATCCCCCCTTGACTTGAATTAAGATCACTGAGGGACACTGATCACTTATGAAACCAAATTTCCTCTGGTTGGTCAAAAGTAAAACATGTACACATGTGTTCATTTATTCCATCTTTGTTTTCAGGCAGAATTGAATTACTCTGCAGCTCGAGCAGTCAAAAACCCCTCATCCTCCTCCATTCTTTCACACCTGCTGAAGAAGCTAACACCCCTCTTTTAAGGGCTACCAGTCAGCTCACAGGTGAAGCCAATCGTGCCAATTAGACATAGCAAACCTGCCAAAATGAGTCCTACTACAGTGATGTAATACTTTTCATTAGAAATGAACTCTACATTTTTAGGATATTTTCTTTCCTGCCCAACAGATAAAGCCTCATCTACAGTTCTGTTTTAGTGTGAAATGTAGTTATCATGTATTTTATGCAATTTCCAGCCAGTCAGGAAAGTTTGTCAATTTTTTTGTTTGTTACTCTTTTTGGGAGCAGGAGTTAGGTTCTGTACTGTTACCCGGTGCCGTTGCTCATATTTTCAGAGGTTTCTTGAGATGTTTTTTTTTTGTCAGTTTCTGAAACATGTATAAATATACTTGTCCAGATCTCAGAGAGAGGGTTTTCCCCTTCATTTTTTGACTGGTAAGGCCAGATAGACTTTAACTGCCTGAGGCATCAATAGTGTCAGTGGTTAACAGCTTGTTTGTGTGGTTTTGCTTTGTTTGAACAAGTTGTGCTTGAATGTGAAAATGCATGTATCTCTGTCTAAACAGCAGCTGAGCCCCCTGTCAGTCAAGTTACTGGGGTTTAGATGCCATTCTCAACGTTACACCTGCTCATCCCTGCTTCAACAACTCATCAAACAGGACTTACACGCATAAGTTAGGCCGAACACTTTTCATGAATAAGTTAGTCAATGCAGAGGTAACTTTTCATAAATAAAAGCATCTTTCTCCAGGGGACATGGCCTCCAGGAAAGACAAAAAACTGTTTTTCTTTTTCTTTTTCTCAAAAATATTTTTTTTAAAGTTTACCACTCAACTAAATGTAATGGCATGCAAAGCTACATTTCCCAAATTTATGATTTGTAATTTATCATTTTTATTGATTTCTGGGTTTTATTTTCTTGCATAATGATGCAATGTATAGCATGTAGAATCAGAAAAGCAATGCCCAACAGCTCCATGTCATACATAGAGTTATTTGAATTCACCAACATCCCCCAATCCTCTCCCAATGTTGTCTTTTATCATGTATCTGAAAAAAAGTGCGCCCCCGGTTGGGCTGCGCCTCAATTTTCCCAAATCCTGTATGTTTATGTTGTCTGTTGTTTTTTTCTTGATCTTGGACGGGTTATACAGAAAAGTAATTAATTTCATTGTACGGGACCCCAGTCAATGATAAATAAAGTATAATTGATTGATTAATTGATAATCTTGACTCTGATGGCCCAATTCTATTGTTGGAAGCCTAAGAATAAAAATCAAAATGATATAAGCGGTGTTTCACTGCACAGTCAGAAAAGCCACCATAATGACTGTTTATATTTAGGGACATTTAAGAACAAAAACAGCACTGACATAAGTAATCAAAGTTTTGGATAATAGTTGATTGAGTTCCTCATTCAGAATAACATCGTTCCCAGGATGCGGTTTGAGCCAAATGGGAGGTTTCATCTGCCTCAGTGGAATAGCGTGACAGGCGTAAATATCCTGGAGAACATCTATAGGGAAGTACTGAACAAAATATATACCACCCACACGGGATCATAATTCTGCCAAGGTAAATTAGATTGTTTATTAAAATTAGAATAATTGAAAGTAAAAAAATATTATTATTTTTTTAATGCACTTAACATGGCCTGTGACAGGATAGTTTTTAATACATCCTCTTCAATCCAAAAACATGTATAGTATTTCTCTGCCTGCGTCACATGTTGATCAAACAGACTTCAAACAGAATCCGAGCTGGTAAAACTTGTTCTTCATTTCTATAGTTAAACATGTTTGCATACTCCAGATCCTTTCTTTTGTAAGACCAAGGGGAGGTGCGCGGCATCACAGCATCTGTGGGATGTATTACAGTGGAAATTAAATCTAAAGTCACCATCATAATTCCTCCCTCACAGATTAAATCTTGCTAATTTTACCAAATTGTTTTCCCGTGTCCTCTCGTACCTGGCTTTGTGATACAGACAACACACACTATAATTCCAAAGGGACACAACCTTCAAACATGAACATCAGAAATAACAAACCATTTTCCAGACACAGCAGGCTTGTTTGTTTGTTTTTTGTCTGCCTGTCTGTCTGTTTTTTTTATTTATTTATTTGTTTTGCATAACAAGTCAAAACACTACGCAACGTTGATAAGTTCATGGTCGGGGACGTCACTTTGCATGGAAAAGTCAGACCTGCCTGTCTTCTGAGAATTGAATGTCTGCACTTACACAACACCTACCCAACAGGATTTTTACATTGAACTTTGCCTGAACTTTAATGACGTGGGAGTACTATCACCATTTCTGGGCTATTTCTAATGGAAAGAAATAATTCTGTTGGATATACCAAGAAAAAAAACGTGATTAAAAATGTGTCTACGCTTTAAATTGGTTCAACAAAAAGTATAAGAGGTGTTCTTCTTCTGTAATCATCACCCAGGTTGTGATCAGCTGAGAGGCAGATGAACATTTATGTGAATCCTTTTTATAATTTGTTCTGTTTTATTGCACCCTGACTTCTTAGTGACTTAATTTTTCTGCCTTTACAGGATTAATCTTGCAACATTGGTTTGTCTTTACTGTAAGATATCCAATTATTTTAGCACTGAAAGACTAATTCTAAGGAATGAAACCCGAGCCAATAGCACATTAACAAGTGGTCTTACATGCTGTTGTTTCCCATTTAAGAACCTCAAAGTACACACAATTACTGCTTTTCAGAAACAGCTGCTTATGGGCTTAAAGAAATCAGACCCATGAATGGTTTGTTGTGACTACGATGATTATGTGCAGAGACACAGACACAGCTCGGCATAAAAGCCTACATCCACCTTTGCATTTTTTTTTCTGTTTTGTTACTGAACAACAGAATAATTGTCCATTTCTGACTGGCCCGATAAAAGTCAATTATGTGATCAGTCAAAGTCAACATTAAGATAGTGAAATATGCCTCCTGGGAGCTCCGTAACTGGTTTTTGAGTAAGGGAAAAGCACATTGCCTATTTGGAATGTTCTTTTCCTGTTCTTTTAAACTAATTTGTCAGTCACTGATGCAGGATGTTGACTTTAGGAACTTCCCAAAGAGGGAAGATATGAACATCTGTAAAGGCAAAGGTGAATACTGTTCCCTAAAATGAGGTTTGGGTGAGGCTTTGATCATGTTTCCAGATGATAAAGCCTCTTTCTCCAGAGGAAAGAGCTTTTCAAACTTTCCATCAGGAGAAACATGTCAACTGAAAGCTAAACATTTACATAAAAAAAATCAATTGGCGTTTGGTGACGGATATGTAAAATGTTTTCAGTTCCACCAAATCGAACCACATGTAAAGCAAACTGTCATCTGAGCGCATGGCCCCATCTGGATGAGACTTGTGGTGACTGCACAGGTTCTGAGGAGCTTTTTGGGAGTGAGTGTGGCATGCCTCTTTATTGTTGCACGTGCATGTGGATACTGAAAAGGTCAGCAATCGTAATTAACGGGACCATTTCAAACCAGAGTAACCTCTAGTTTGAATTTGAGCTTCTCACATTTTTGTTTAAACTTTTTATTGCAAGGTGCATGTTCTGTTTCTAGTCTCAATCCTCTTGACAAAAGCTCCTAATCAGTGTTTTATAATGGATGCATATTAACGAGCTTCTTTATACTGGAATCTCTTTCAAAAGGCTTTGTGCCATATTTGATGGGTCCCAAATTAGTCATGAGTAAGAGAATGAAACATTTGAGAAAAAATATATAATTAGTCTTACTTGTTTCTGGTGGACAATGAATGAATCTGCCTCGAGTGTCGAAGAGAAAGCTGACGCTTTTTTATAATAAACTAAAGCTGTCTTCCTTGCATCACAAAATACATTTAAAAAAAAAAACATTTCTTAAATTCTCTACTATGGTGCAATTTTGTCAGCGCTGAATAAAATGTTTGGTGCATTTCCTGCCATTATGTTAATGGGATGGATGCAAGAGGCAAAATGTTATCAGGAAAAGGGGCAACGTTTCAGCCACAAATGCTTTAATCTCGTGACAATGGAGAGGAATGTTTACCTTTGCAAAAGTCCAGTCAACACAAATTTATCTATGGCAATAATATAAAATGTATCAGTTTGAATTCCCGTCCGGGAATTAAACTGTATTGTTTTCACTTACAGCATCAAGCCACTGTGAAATTGCTTAAAACTGCCAAACTTTTGATAGTCATGTTGCATTTTGGGTAAAGCAGTGACATTTTGGGGATGAGTGTAATTTTTTCCCCATGCTTTTTGGGATTCAAGACCCATATACTTCAGATAAATATACTCCTATTGTGGTTTAAAAAGGAAAAGTAATCCCCACCCGACCCTGCATCCTACTAGATTCAAACAAATTTAAATAGGCATCATCAGTTGGAAACTATTTATTGAACATTTGCAACCAGATATCAGTTAAATACAGAACTTTCATTTTTCTCTCTACATCCCTTGAACAGCAGGGATCGGCTCCACTTCATTGCACTGAGAGGAGGGAATGTTATAGGACTTTGTAAGGCGCACACTGTGCTGGAAGTAATTTGGCTTTCTGTCTTTTGACGATAAAGAGAAACTAAATCTGAGTTTGCCTCTCAAATGTCCAACACTGCTTCCTCTCCTCACGGCTGTTTCACCTGCGGTCAGGTGCTGTTGTCAATCCTGGGCGTACACACCATGGCAAAAACGACAGAAATAGGAGGCGAGAAGAGAAAACCAGTATAGATGGCCGAAACCCGCCCCTATTGAATGCGGTCTCAAGATGTAGCCATGACTGAAAAGCTAAAAGTTAAATGATCGACATGAATATATTAGAAAAATGGCAATTAGTCTTTAATAAACAGCTCGCCTCACCACTTCCCAACAAGACCTGGGTTATAAATTAAAACTGTCCAAATAAAAATCAATTAACCAAAAACTTTGGGGCCCATTCAGTTCCATTTCAAGACTGGAAAATCCTTATTGAGAAAACAAATGGCACTTTTCAGCCTCTTGAACTGGAATCTGGAATCTCGACTCCAATGAAATTGACCCCGACCCTAAAATCAACTCTAATTTACATATATGGGTGAGGCGTTCTTCAAGCTTCACTCAAGCACTTGCTCCCTACAGGACGAGGGAGGCCCTGTGTGGTCTTTGCAGGCTAGGCCACAGTTTTGAAGGTCTGCAGTATGAGGTTGGTTTGGTGGATGAGTCGGTTTGCACTGATGAAGACGTTTATTGCCCTGGAAACAAAGAGGGTGACAGCATGAGAAAATAGAATAGAGAGGCTTCCAAGTTGCTTCATTCGACACCTGGTTCAAAATGAGCAAAGAAAATGCTCATGGCTTTATGCCTCTTAAAGTCAAAGTGATAATTATAAGAAATATTTAAACAATATTTTGGCAGTTTTATATATGAAAAAAAGTTCCTCTTTTTTTATTGTAAACTGAGCTCTTATGAAAATGTTTACAAGCCACAGTGCAGAACCTGAGGTCTAAATTGGTAATTTGACAAAGGAAACAGAACAAAGCCAGCATGATTTGAGTTCTTCTTTTTCTTTCACAAAGCTTTAACTGCTCCAAGTGAAACATAGCACAAATGTAAACAGACCAGAGTTTGTTTTAGCTGGATCACATAATCCAACTCAAAAAGCTGAGCCCATGAACTTCAGAGACACAGGCTTCCTCTTAACTGCATCATATTTATGGGAAGTCTGGATGCTGATCTGGAGTGATTTGTATAACTGCCTCTCTACCTGAATGAGAGGGGCAGGTTCCTCTGTTACAAACATAACCTAGAGTAGTGGCCCTGGTTTCTATTGGTTTAAAAATATTAGATGTGCCGATCAGCCTTTTTTCTAATTCTGAGTTTTTGAACAGGACAATGCCCTTTCTCTCTCTTTCTCTTAGAAGTTCCCTTTCTATATGGTTAACTCCTTTTTGCAGTGATGAGCTGAGGCTTTAAGCGGTCGTACTTACTTTCCGTCTTTGAAGTATGTTTTGAGGGTGTCACTGAAACTTTTGGAGTATTTCACAAACTCCTTTTTCTGGTGCTCCAGAGCCTTGGAGAGAACATAAAAAAGACAGCCTTAGAAAGAGAAATAATAAGTGAATGAGCACACATTCAATTCCCGTTTTGGTTACTCACTCTGCGGTTCTGGTATTGGTATTTTTTAATGACGTTGTTGACTGTGTCCAGGAGCTCTTTTATGGCGCTAGCTATGTCTCTGTGAATAAAAAGAAGAACCCATAAGAACAGCAGACGCTAGAAGAGAAGACCATGATGGGAAAAGAAGGTGAAGGCACCACATATTGACGTGAGAACGACAGCAGCTTTGATGAAAGCAACTCCTCTGACATTTTTTTCATTAGCCCGCTTTTGCAATCACTGCAGAAAATTAGCTGCTGTAATGAGAGTGTGTGTATCAACCTTATCCGAAAGCGCTCCAGGGATTCAAAGCAGACACACATGTAGACTTAAGCATCACACTTTGACAGGCCCAACAATGCCACACTCGCACAGTGGCACTGGTCCGGCTATACACCGCAAGTCCAATATTTGCTCAATACATAATCACAGCTCTGCAGGCAGGATGTGTGAAGATTTAGAAGAAAAGAAAAAGTGTATTGACTCCAAACGTACAAACGCGGAAAATATTGATTAGCGATAGACTTTAAATAAACTATTTGAGCTGAGCAGTGATGGGGAGACACTCAGTCCTCCTCCACAGATCAGCATTCGTCTGAAATGCACCGATTTTGTGTAACCACACATGGAGTCTTTCAGTTGAACGGAAAACGTGCGTGTTTGTCGCTTACACTCACTTGATAGTTTGTAGGAAGCGTACTCTGTCATTGATCTCGTCTGGGATTTTGCTAAGGATGTGTTTCAAAGCTCTGGCCTTCTCATTTAGGTCCTGGAACTCCTGCTCAGGCCGGTCAATCATGAACTCTGTAGGACAGGAAAGTTTAGAGCGTTCCTGGAGACTCAAATCATTGAGAGATTTGTGCCAGACACTGTGTAGGGATGCTTCAACCAGATCATCATCTAAATCTAAATGTGATCAAAACCGGACGAAGAGAGTATTTGTGCCAGAATTTCTGTTTTTGTTTTTTAGGCACTCACCTTCCACATCGTCTGCTGCCATACGCAGCAGCGATTCGGTGAAGTTGATCTGAACGTTCTTTTTCTCCAGGATCTTCATTATGATGTCCTGGGTCAGACCTGGGTTCTCCCTCTCCGCCTGACAAAAGAGACAAACGGCATGTTGTGTGTGGAAGGCAGACTGCTTGTTTCTTATATGAGAAAAATAGCCACAGCTCAGTTGGAGCCAGTGAAAACAAAGCGAACATTTTATTTGACTATCTGGCTGTAGCTGTAAGCAGCTCAGACAAGAGCGCCAGAGCTCTCCTGGTGAATAATTCAACCTGCTTTGCAGCAGCCGGGAAGAAAAAAGGGGAGAGGAGAGAGACTAATCAGACATGCGAGTAAAAAAGACCCACAAATGTCAGCTGTAAAGTGATCTGATGTCCCTTGGGCTTGTATGGCAACAAAGCTTCTCCTCTGTCATTTTTATTTCAAGCATGCATTGCAAACATACATGAACTTCTTGTGCGGCACAGAGGCAGTACGTGGTAAATTTGCCTTTAACATCTAAGTGAAATCAGAGAAAGATGAAAGCCATAACATTAAAATCCCTGGACTGATGTTTTAACAAAGTTTGCTGACTTATTCATTTCACCTTCAATGAAAGAAGCCTTTGGTTTAAACAGACTTCCAGCATTATGAACCTAATACACCATTTATAATCGGAAGATAAAAAGAAAATACTTCCAACATTACAGAACAATAAAGACATGTTCTCTTTTAGAAAAAGAAAGAGGATGCTTATATCTTTGGGAATAAACTAGTTTTACTATGCACTGTCCTGCATCACTATTTTCTTAAAATGTCTCAAAATCTGTATGATTTGGCATTGGGACAAGTTCCTTTTAACATTTCTTTACTTTTCTCTTTAGCTAAGGTGAAAAATAAGTTAGGCTGGATTCACCTGTGTGTTTTTCAGTGAAATAAGGTCAAAACTGCCAAAATGGAATCAACGGGCCATTGGGTCAAATAGTAAACAATACACATATGTCACAAATAGGAGGTAACACAAGTAAAAAATGATCTGCATCAGCAATCAACATCTCCGAACACTATATTTATGTTAAGTTGTTGCATTTTTTTAAGCGTGAAGCTAAACGCTGATGGGGGCATTTGACAACATGATGTGAAAGCAGCCAAGAATTCCTCGACAGGTGTACAGTACAGTACAGGTGATCGTGCTGTAATTTCCATGTTTCGGTCCATCTAAATTATTCACAGTCCTACCTTTATGAAAGCTGCTCTGAGTGTCTGGGCTGCTGATAAGTTGATCCTCTCCAGCTGGTGAGGGGAAAAACAGCCAGAAATGTAAAATAAAAACAGAAAATTCATGTTGGTGATAATTCCAGACTGAATGAGACCAATCGTCTGATGACAAGTAGGATGACTTTGAAATGGACAGCACGTAGAAGGTTATGTTGCAACGGCTAATTTATACAGTGACAAAGTAAATCACACTCTGCGAATAGTATCTTTTACATAAGATTTTAAAAAGATGTTTTAAGGTTTTTTTTTACCTCGTTGAAAACCGGGTACATCACAGCATACAGTGTCATGGATACCATGGAGTTTGTCTCCGCTTCATTCTTCATCTCCTCCATTGTCATCCTCCAGGGAGGAGCAGCTCTTGTTAAAATGGTGAAGGGGACCCTGCAGCTCACACACGCTCACACATGCACTCACACACACCCTGTAAGCCACGGGAGTTCCGATGTAGCAAGATCCTGGAGGGATAAAAAAAAAAGAGAGAAAGAAAAATTATTTATGTACATCTACGTTTAGCTGTCTTTGTTTGAAGTATACAAAGGAGATTTAGCTCCATCTGCTGCTTATTTCTTTGCACTTTGCTGGCATAGAAGACCAACTTCCAACAGTTCAAACACAAAGGTTATTGTGTCAAATAAATGAAAGCCTGAGATATTTAGAAAAGGTGACTTGTAACAAAAAGAGGCAGTGAAAAAAGGCTACACTTTAATCATAAGCATGTTCCACCATCCAATCTGAGTCAACTGCTTTTATTATTTGTTTGAAAAGAAGAAAAGGAGGTAGATAATTCATGCTCTCACAGTTTTTTTTGTCAAATAATAGTTACTCATATCATGCAGATCGTCACGTACGCACAATAATTGTAGCACAGATTATTTTAAAAAGACAAAAATACTAAATTGTTAAGTACTTTCACTACTAATTACCAAAACACCATGACCAAAAATACCTGAGCAACAAAAACTATTTAACATGGTTTTTGTTAAATTGTTGTTTACATCAACGTAAACACACCATGTCTGTTCTGTAATTTGCCTTGTAATAACTAGAACTGTGGCCTACATGGATCAAGTGACTGCCACTAACAAGGAAGAGGTCAATTGTTTAATTTACCTCTTGAGAGGTGTGGCACACTTCTAGCTTAGCTGGCTGATAACAGCTCGCCAAAACACCGACCAAGATCATCAAGACATCAGAAGTTGTTTTGCACTTATATCAGTATATGTAAAGAGTAAACGTGTAAACAACTTGATTGACAAGCTCACTTTTGGCTACTTGAGAAGGTTCGAATTTAATTTTGTTCGAGTGGCCTAATACGTCATGGCGCGTTTATGAATGTTTCCAAAAGTATCAAGTAAATTTGAAAAATGTGTATCTTAAATGATGGGTATGAAGCGATTATTAGCTCACTGGCAGGTAAAGCTGACCACTTGACGAGCTAAACAGAGAAACACAGCCCCAGGTAATGCTACTTCGCTAACAGAAATGCTAACTACGTAGCTACTGAAACGTCAACTGAAGTTAAGCATTTTACTATAGCTTAGGGGATAACATAAATCACCGACAGAGCACTGGCTGACTCGGAAAAGTAAAATATTTAGCATTATGAAAATAAAGATATTCCCCTGAGGCCTGTTACCGAGCTAATCGATGATAGCGAATTGCTAGCTGTAAGAAACATAGCAACATTGCTAACTCAAGTAAACTGTATATATTTATTAGCAGAAGGGCTAAAAAGCGCCAACAAATCTTTTAAAGGCAGATTTGTGAGTTCATATACGTGCGCCAAATGTGTTCTTCCATCTACCTTTAGTGTGACTTCTTAAACGGGCTGATTATGCCGTCGATTACCTTTTAGCTGCTGTGTTTTCTTTTACAACTTAAGGCGGAAGTTTTTTAGGACTGGCCTGAGCGACATCTTCCGGATTGATACCATGTGACCAATCTCTTCCAATTACAGAACTAGTAGCGCAAACACCTCTGACGTCATTTAGATAGTTAAGTTTCTGTTGAAGCAGTCTTATCTGCCATTCAAATAAGCATACCTCATTTGGGAGGTCATGTCTGGTTTCTTACAATGGAAATGCTTACCAATCCTCTAATTTCATGTCCCTAAAAGACCTTAAAGGACTCATTTTTTTGTACCTTTAATTTCCTACGCACACCAAACAACACAGAAATGTTCAGTTTTTCACATTATCCATACTACACGTACACACAGCATTAACATTCAACCAGCAATACAGACTATACTGGTTATGGTCAAATCATCACTTCACAGTTATTTGATGTATGCACACTTTCAAAACTTGAGTTGCTGGCACACTTTTATCTGTAATTGTATTCAAAGGTCTTTCAAGAACCTGCAAGCTATTGTGCACATACATATATTTATATAAATATCTGGAATATGTGAAGGGGAGATGAAATGTAAGCAACATAATCTAACACAAAACCATTTAACAGAGGTAAGCTTAGATTATATGTCTTCTCTGGTCTCTGAACATCACTTTCCAGACTATATGTCCTTTACACCTCATCAAAAAGGATGAACATATTTAGAAAATAGAGTCCATCGGGAGTTGCTAACTCCATGATTTTTACAGATTTGTAAATATGTAACTAAATCTTTCAGCAAGCCACAACATCCCCAGCAGAGGGTGCAAAAGGTCAGATAGGCCCTGTGTGCTTTAAGAATCTCATCAGTTATGAACCAAACAGTCTATTCAAACATTTAGGACAGATTAGAAGAAGCAATACCTTACCAGGGCTGAGGTTGGGAGGGCACCATTTGGATCATCCCACTAAAGAGCTAATCTACCAATAGACAATCTTTCTCCTCTGTCCATTTTCCCTTACAAAAAAGTTGTGAGGTCATCATTCCTTTAGATTTATTTCCATTTATACTGTACATATACATGATCAGGTGCACACATGGTGATGTGGGATAAAATAGGTCACAGAATAATATTTTTTAAGTTAATCACTTGAGAAGGGGAAAATCAATTTTATTTTTCAATGCTGTACATACATTTTATTCAGGGATTTTGGCAAAATAAGTACAGTACAGGAAGTACTCTTTTTTGTTATTAAAAAAAATGTTTTGCCTTTAATTCTATTTATTTTTTGGGGGCTGCTGATTACTCAAAAGCAAATTGACGTCATCTGCCTTCACTTAATCTGGCATACCGCGTCAGTTGTGATGTTCGTGTTCTTTTAGGGTAAGTGCTTTATTGGCTGCCCTATTTGTCCATTGTTTGACCTTTTGATGAACCTGTGTCAGCTTTTTTCTTCCATCTGAATCCCCAGAATGAGACCACTTAATAAATTGAGCTTTCTCTTTTCAATTTTTGACAGTATTAGTTCAAACTGGATTGAACATGTTATCTCTCAGATCCGTGTCTGTTCAACTGATATACGAACGTGTTCATATACAAATGATCCGTGATGAGAAAGGCCTAGCATGCAATAAGAAAAAAAAAAGGAGTGAACCTCAGAGGTGTGCACACCTGACTGTGCCTTATAGAAGATAACCAGGCATGCACACACCTTTGCATGTGCTGTCACACACAGTTTGTGGGTCTGTATCCAGTTATTGCCCCAGGTCTGCCCTGTCATGCAGGCTACACCACCTGATTCAAACCTTTTGGGGGGTATTTTGTTCTAAAAAAGGGGGGGAAACTCTTAATGTATTATGGAGAAAAACTCCCACAAAATACAGAGTTTGGCCTCAGATCACTTTCCACATTATAAGACTGATTGATGCAAGCCGGCCATTTATCATGGACACACAAAGGGTGAGGACGCAGATGCAGTAATCGACTTAGCTATAAACTAAATAATACTTTAATATGTAGTCCAGGGGGAAAAGGTTGAAGTATCCAAATCACATAGGCATAGATAAGTAAGGAATAGATAAGTAAATAAGCAAACAAACAAAGGTAAGTAATGGACACAGGTGAATAACAGTGCGGTATGGCAAAGATGATTAACAGAGGGTGTAAGGTAGTCTGAAACGAAACAGGAAATAAAAACCATACTCCAAAAACAAATTTACTCATCAAGGCCACACATGACGTTCATCTTATGCACGACAATTCTATCTCCACATGGATCTGTTTTCTAACACAGCACAGAACGTGCATGATCAACAGGTCTTTTTGATTGCAAAGAATCAGTTGAACTGATGGCAAAAAATAAAAAATAAATGAAGTGACACAACAGCATTCTTCGTAGTTGTGTAAGCACATTTTCTCTGGAAAAATCCGGGCCTGGACCGTTCTTGATGGAAGATTTTGTTTTGAAGCCGAATCTTCTGGAATGGAATTTTTTAACTCGGCCTAAGACCCCCCCCCCCCCCCCCCACCCCCGTGAGGTGAAGTGCGCACAGTCTCCATCCCGGCGTGTTATATAACAGCGACGGGGAGCTCTCTGATTGGCCGAGGGCTCAGGATCCGTCAGAAGACTACCATCCAGGCCACCGAGCTCCACCACTCTGCCAGCTCTTTTCAAAGACGACAGCTGGAAAATTACAGTCTTTCTGGTGAGTATCCATCTGCATCCCTATTAGGTGTTGGGTAGCTCTTCTTAAAAGTGCAAAAACAGCTAAAGATAAGGCGCCAAAAAGGTGAGAATTTCTGGTGGTGGCTTGCAAGAAATTGTTTTGGGTTGATGCACCTGTGGAATAGCTCGTTTCTAACTATAGTGTGACAGGAAAGCGTGCAGGAGGCTGAGAGCTAGGCTCTGCGCCCTGCTTATTGGTCTGCAGCTGTAGTTGATCAGGTCTGCGCACTTTCCGTGTCGAGGAAAGTGCGCAGTGACGTCTAAAACTGATCCGCCTCGCTTCTGCTCATTTGCAGACTCCGCAGCCATGTCCCTAAACGTCCAGATAAACAGCCCCAATGTGAAGTACACAGACGCTCACATCGTGGCGCAGTATTCGTACCAAACCACGTCAGTGCGCCAGGAGGGAGGCACACTTAAGGTAAGCGATCTCCGGACTCCCCCCCCCCCCCCCCCCCCCCCCCCCCCTTGCAGGAAATCAACCATCTGCTCAGTCTGCTTCTCTCGTGGCACTGTGTGGCTTTCAGGTGACCCCCCGCAGCACCGATCTGACGTTTCGCACCGAGAGGCGCGTGCCGCGGCTGGGGGTGATGCTCGTGGGCTGGGGGGGCAACAACGGGACCACCGTGACTGCAGCCGTGCTGGCTAACAAACTTGGGCTCACCTGGAGGACCAAAACTGGAGAAAAGGTGAGCGGGAGAGACTCAGCTGAGGTTGAATTCTAGTTGCATCTGGCCCAGAGGATCTGACCAACACATACAGTCAGACATATCTGAACATAATTCACATCTACAAATAAAACCGTTCATCAGGTGATTGTGACGCTGAAATGGATGCGGAGCACTGCATGGCTGACGTGAGACTGGAGGATGAGGGCTGAACTTTATAATTGGACCATAATTGGATGTGAAACCCGTGGTTCTCATGAGGGAGCTCATAGAGAGGATTTGGTCCTATTTTATAAATATAACCTACTTTGTGGCCTCAGCTGCAGTGGAGGGACTCTTTAGCTGGTTAGAGTGACATGTTCAATGGAGCTTGAGATGCTTAACTTAGAATATTCTTGGACATTTCCCATATAAAGCCATGCATGGTTACCCCTGTTAAAGGAGCTCCTCTGTCTTCCAGTTGCCATATTTGTCGCTGACCTTAAACCGAGCATTAAAAAACTTTTCTTATTAGATAGTGAATTCTCTTCTTCCTCTGATTTCTTAGAAAGCGAACTACTTCGGCTCCCTGCTGCAGTCGTCCACCGTTTGCCTGGGATCCGGGTTAGAGGGGGAAGTCAACGTGCCTTTCCGGGACCTCCTCCCCATGGTGCACCCTAATGATATCGTCTTTGACGGTACGCAGAGCTCCAGACAGTCCTCTCGCATTTGAAGCTCTGAGACGGAAACTTGTGTTGGTGTGAAAGGCTGTGAGCAAAGGCGAGCCAGCGGTCTGATTTCAGAGCAGCTCCACAGCTCGGACTGCACACAGTAACTTCCAAAAGACTGGTTCTACTGATACTCATGGAGCTGACAGAAAACCGGCGGGCACAAAAAGATCAGGATTTGCTCCTTTAAATCATTCAAATGAGCGAGCTGGCACGGTTCGGTAACCTTGTACCTTTTTTGTGTTTTGTTTTGTTTTTTAGGTTGGGATATCTCCGCAATGGATCTGGGCAGTGCAATGGAGCGAGCCCAGGTGCTGGACTGGTCACTGCAGGAGCAGCTGCGAGCACACATGAGCCGCTTCAAACCAAGGCCGTCCGTCTACATTCCAGGATTCATTGCCGCAAACCAGGAGAGCCGGGCAGACAATGTCCTCACTGGAACCATGGCCGAGCAGGTAATGCGAGTCTCCTGTCCTCTTTTACTCGGAGCAGCTTTATTGCTCCTAGTCCCCTCTGCCCTCTCTGTATTTTGACTTGAAGATTACGTTACCTTGCAGCTGGAGCAGATCCGAGCTGACATCAGGGACTTCCGCCAGTCCAGCGGTGTTGACAAAATCATCATTTTGTGGACAGCCAATACTGAGCGCTTCTGTGAGATCATACCAGGGGTCAACGACACGGCCCAGAACCTTTTGGCTGCAATCCAGGTGATTAATATCGTGATTAATAAATGATTCAGGACGTTGGTTTTATGTAGCATATAAACAATTATCGCAAATCACCCACTCCACTTTCGTTTTTGTCCTAATGCAGAAGATGGAGCAGTAATCCCCTGTTGCACTTTGATTGATAAAGCTTAAGAGGATAAAAATAGTTTTTCTTTCAGGTCAAACAAATGCTGTAATAAACCCATCTCCTTCTGTTGTTCCTTTTCATCCGTCAGGCCGGAGCAGAGGTTTCTCCCTCCACACTGTTTGCTGTTGCCAGTATACTGGAGGGTTGCGCCTACATCAATGGCTCCCCACAGAACACCTTCGTCCCGGGGGCTGTGGAGCTGGCCATGCAGAGAGGCGTGTTCATCGGGGGTGACGACTTTAAGTCGGGTCAGACAAAGATCAAGTCTGTGTTGGTGGACTTTTTGGTCAGTTCTGGTATCAAGGTAAGAGGAAAATGATACATGTGCACATCTAATGGCAGACTTCTATAAAGGACAAAGATAACATGAGAGTAAAATGAAATAAATAACTAGGAAAAAAATGTCTTTATCAGCCAACCTCCATCGTCAGCTACAACCACCTGGGCAACAACGACGGGAAAAACCTGTCGGCCCCTCAACAGTTCCGCTCAAAGGAGATTTCTAAGAGCAATGTGGTGGACGACACGGTCCAGTCCAACCCCATACTCTACCGGCCGGGAGAGAAACCCGACCACTGTGTGAGTAATGACGCTAACTCACGAAAAATACAGAAAGCCCTGCGTGCATGTCCAGAGAACGAGCGCTCAAATGTTTTTCACCTCGGCCTCATTTCAGGTGGTGATAAAATACGTTCCGTATGTGGGAGACAGCAAGCGCGCTATGGATGAATACACCTCGGAGATAATGATGGGCGGGATCAACACGATTGCGCTGCACAACACTTGTGAGGTTGGTGCTCATGCATGCGTTTGCAACAAAACTAACACATGAAAACAGGTTAAAGCTGCAGAGTAGGGACGCTCAGGGTGGGGGCAGATCCTGCTGATAATCCCTAACAAGACTTGGAGCTAATATGACAAGACACATCCAGTAATTATACTACTTGCTCTGTCCCAGGACAACCGCTACAAAAAAATATAAAATTATTTGTTTCCATTTACACACCGTATGAAAAAGTGAGCCTGATTTCATTCACTCCTGTAGCATTTCTGACAAATCTGTCCTTTAGTGCACTGAAACGAATAGTTGTATTTGCTATTTACACTTAAATTCAGATTTTTAGCCACCTCCAGTAGCAGGAAAAAACTCCATAGCTAACAGTTTTTCACTTTTCAGTGAGCTACACCCAAGCATAGATATCAAATATGGATGTCTGTATATAAATATATGTCTATACATTTAGGGATGACTGCAACAAAACGAACAATGCCTGCATAAAATAATTGAATGTATTATGCCAGCACGTTGCTTTTCCCCTCTTTTACAAAGCCTGCCTAAATTTCTTGTATCAAAACAGGACTCTCTACTGGCCAGCCCAATCATTCTAGACCTGGTGATCCTGACAGAGCTTTGTCAGCGTATCAACATCCGGCCACAGGGGGAGAAGGACTTCCAGTCCTTTCACAGTGTGCTGGCATTGCTCTCCTTCCTCTGCAAGGCCCCCCTTGTCCCATCAGGGACTCCTGTTGTCAACGCCTTCTTCCGCCAAAGAGCCTGCATTGAAAACATCATGAGGTGTGAACCACTTTCAAATTTAACATGTGACTTTTTCCCCCGTTTTTTCTTTATTTTTTGCACATTGCTCATTTAACAGAAAAAAAAAGGCTGAGCGATGTAGTGCGTGAAGTTCAAACTGTCCTCGCCTCGTGATTTTTTAAATTTGGTGAAATTTCTTTGTTTCAGGGCGTGCATTGGCCTTCCACCTCAGAACCACATGCTGCTAGAGCACAAGCTGCAGAGGGACTTTCTGCCTCTGCACACGGACTACGGCGATGACGTGACCACTTTGAAAAAAGCGTCTCACATCAATGCAAATCAAAGATTTGTGCCAATGACAAATGGCATATATGCACATGAGGACACAGCATGTGCGTTATGAATGCAGAAATCCAAAAACCGCACGTGACAGAAATGAAAGTTCAATGAGTGTATGCAAAGGCTATTCCTGTGAAAAAAAGCCTGCAACGATCAACATTTCATTGTAAAAAATTATGAGGTCAGCTTGAGTCTGAGATCTGTTTGATAGTCGTGTGTTGTAAGTTTGACACTTTTAAACGCTCCTCACAATTTTGATTATATCTCAAAATGTGTGTTTGTTTTTTTTTAGGGTTCCAATTTTGTGTGATTTCTGATTCATAGAGGTTTGTGTGTAGATCAGACTGAATGCACTGCTGTTCCTCGGAGCAGAAGCGCTGTTTACAAAGCTGTAAATTGGATCTGCTGTAATTGCAACTTTTAGCACATTCACTTGAATAACCTTCTGTATTATTTTAAAAGTTGTCGTTTGCTGCCTTTTTTTTCAGTAGATAGCAGAAGTTGTTTGTGTGTAAATTGACTATGTACATACAATAAACTTCAATTGATGTTTGAACTTGACATTGTTTTTATAATATATTTAATTAACCTTTGCTCATGAGTCCAATTAAATATAATCTGTGGTCAGTCGGTCACAACCCTGAAACTACCAGCTAATGATAATTCATTCATAATTTGGTCAAGACTTGTCAAGCAAATCTCCATCCCTGTATACAAACATATGGGAAGAACACTGAGGATTTCAGACTGTATATAGAGAAATGGCATTATACACAGTTGAACAAATTCATTGGAAAGGGTCTAAACTAAAATTATTTAAAAATTTGAATACAATAACTCATGAGAAGATGAGACTAGTTGTAAGACACCAACTCAACTCAAAGTGTTGTGTCTAGAAAATACTGTTTTGAGTAATCATAATTGTGCAACATCATACAGTGTCTCAAGAAAAAGGTGTCACCTACTAAACTGTCCCATCTTTTAAAAAAATGCTTTTCAGGACTAGCCCCTAACACAGGGGTGGGCAACTCCGGGCCTCGAGAGCCACTGTCCTGCAGGTTCTAGAGGTTTCCCAGCTTCTGCACACCTGATTCAGATCAAACTGATCACTTCTAAAGGTGCTCCACCTCTGAACAGGACTCCTGATGTTGTGTTGATGTGAATCAGGTGTGTAGAAGCAGAGAAACATCTAAAACCTGCGGGACAGTGGCTCTCGAGGCCTGGAGTTGCCCACCCCTGCCCTAACACAATTGCAAAAAATAACTTTAACTTCCGAAACTTGGCCGGAAGTGAAGCTCATGATCAGCCCTAAAGCAGCAACTCCTGCAAAAGGGTGGAAACGGAACGGTTGCTGGTGCAAAAAACAGAATCGTTGAGTCTAAAAAAAGAATAACCTCATCTTTGACCTAATGAAAAAATGTTCAGAAAAACAAAAAAACAAAAACAAGATTTCATTGTTTGCCAGCCAAGCAACGGCTTTATTTTCTCGGTATTATCCGCCGCTTCCGGTTTCCCGGCCGGTTTCCCCACCGCTTCCGGTACGGCTGCCGCTACCCTGGACATCAACGGCAATGGCTGACAAGGAGAAGCGCCGGTCCGCGGCCCTTCCCCCGGGCATGCCCGCGGGCGGGGCCGTCAGGTCGGACGGCGACAGGGACTTCCTGTTGCAGGCCGGGGTGGGGGACCTGCTCCGCGGGGCCATCCTGAAGATGGTGGAAGCCAGGTCGGACGATCCGGTCGGCTTCCTCGCCGACCACTTCTGCAACCTGGCCTCGGTGACGGAGAGCGGCGGCACAGCTGGATGCGGAGACGAGGAGCAGCTGTGCTCCGGGCCCGCGAGCGCGGGCGCGCGCGAGCAGCAGCGTCTCAACAGGGCGCTCTGGCACCTGCGCCTGGCGCACCACTCCCAGAGGTGCGAGAGCTCAGCCAGCATCTTTCCACATGTTTTCTCTTTTTTTTTTTTTGCTAGACCTGTGGGATGGATTTCACACGTCTCTTGACATTAAAACAAGCTATCTCTCATTTTTTTCTCTCTAACATGCATGGAAGTCTTTCCACCTTACATGGCATCATATGTGTTTCTTTTCATTTGCTTTGTTATATCTGTGAGCAGAAATACAGCATAACGACCACAACAATGATATATAGAATGACTTATAGCTTATATGTAAAGGTCAGAATAAAAATTGTCAGAAGATAGTGAATTAGCTCTCGTTTGAGTTGTTAGGAATTCCTAAAGAATAACTTGTATAACATGTTTCTGCTCTTTCAGAATGCCATCAATTTCTAAAAATGATATCAAACATCTCTTGGGAAAATGGATGGAAAATAACCAAATTTTTCCTCATTGCTGCAATCAGGAACCAATGATTGACCAATGATTTCTATCTTCGATGCAGGTCAGCTTTCAGCAATAATGTGCGTGTGGCCTATGACCTCCTGAACCTGACGGGGGCTCAGGAACGAGCAGGCGAGGGGCCCGAAAGCACGGATGGCTCCTGTACTGCAGCTCCCACTGGAGGAGGAGGAGGAGGAGGAGGAGGAGGAGGAGGAGGGGGAGGAGGGGGAGTCAGAGGTGGTCTCTATACGCAGACTTTGCAGTGCTTGTGCAGTGAAGGCGGAGTCCCGGCCTCCACCTCCGCCCCGCTGCTTCGACGCCTCCACTGCCAGAACCACGAGGCGGTCCCGTACGATGTCTTCCGCCACGGAGTGCTCACCTGTGCTGTTTTCTCGGACTACATCCGGCAGGCCCAGAGGCTTTACGCAGAGGTGTGCTGCCCGGACGAGGGGCCGGCCTCGCGGGCCCTGTGCCTGGCCGTGCTTGGAACCTTAAAGGAGGCCCTGGAGACGTCCCAGAGCTGCGAGGCAAACTGCTGCGCTAATGCTAACACTACAGCTTATCCCTGTCTGGAGGCAAATGTGAAGGCGATTCGCTACTTGGAGGCCAGTGCCAAAATCTCCCCCAACAAGCTCGCACAGGCCATCGCCGGAGCGCAGACACGGGGCCCCGGTGGCGACATGGACGCAAAAGAATTCGAAAACGCAGCTGCTGAGCTGTTCATCACGCGAGTGAAAGTTGTTTCTTAGATTTTCTTAAACTCTGTGCAGAAAACCCAGAGCGTATCCTAGTTATTAAAGACCTTCTCTTCACCCTCTGTTTCCTATAGAGCAAGCAAACAGCACCTAGACAAAAAAAGAAAAGCTTAGACATTAACTCTAATCAAGATGGAAACTAAACATGATGTGTTCTGAGTGCTTTTGAAATCAGTTGAGAATTGTGCTAAGTCACCTTGAACTCTCCTAAAAAAAAAAGTGTATGCCATGAAATCCGTATTATTCCAGATTGATATAAGTGTACAGCTCTAGTCAAGAGTCCTCCAATGAGAAGGACCCTCTCTGTCACATGGACCTGTTGAAATAAAGTAACAGAAATCCAAAATTCAAATATATTTTTGATGAATGGTGGTTGCTTCTCAGCATATTTACATTTTATGTCAATACATCTTTTCCCATTATCAGTGGTCATATTGTCATCCATTGTAGCAACAAAGTTACCTTCAAACATACAGTGGAACTTTCTGAATAAAGGGCAGAAATGTTCTTCTGTTTTATCCGTCTGAGAAAAGTGCTCATGGTGTAGATAAATTTGCTGTATGGAACTGAATTAGATGAGAAACTACTCTACAGAAAGAAAAAAAGGCAACTGTGTTCTAAAAGCACGGAAAATAAAATGCATTTCCAATTTGGTGAAATTTTTTATAAAACAGAGAAAGAACTTCATGCAAACAGTTCCATGAAAATGTATTCTTGATGATACAAGGAGGCTAAGATAGTGTGACATTTGAAATCAACTATCCCAACGACAACCCACCACCAACACATACAGTATAGCATTAAACCATTTAACCACAAAACCAGTATCCAGGGACAATTCTCCCCCTAAGAATCCAGACTAAACTAAACTAAAGCAGCAGGGAGTCATTTATAATCCATGTGAAAAAGATACACGACATGTGGCACATAAACTCCTCAACCACTGAGCATCAACCCTCTCCAGGATTGGAGGAGGTGTTTGACACTGAGATGTCTCAGCAGAAAAAAGTAGAAGAATCTGCTTCAGCCACTAGGTGGCAGCACCAACAAGAGGCAAACAACCAGCTAGCGGAAGTGAAATAACTCTGCAGCGCCAGTAGAGCTGCCTGGTCCTTACAAGAACAGTTTTCATGGACCATTTTGTATCAGAAAGGGAGTTTAATTTCCCGGTTTGACCGAACGGTGGTCTGGGTATTTATTTCTTGAATGTTGAAGATACAAATCGGCCCACTGCGCCCCTAATGGTTTAAGGCGAAGGTGAAGAAGAAGTGCACGAACATCTTAGTACACAACTCCTACTTTAACCGCATATAAGTGTCGTATTGGTTCTCGTTTGACTTTGCCAGGATGGAAGGAGAGGAGCAGCTTAGGTCTTTGCTGTTCCTCATGACCTACGTGCTGTTGAAACGCAGGAGAGACATAAACAACGCAAACATCCAGAGGCGGCATGAGGTCCAGAGACGGATCCGACACAGACAGTACTTCTTCCAGAGACAGAGGAAGATGCTCATGGTCAGTCAGCATCCTTAAGAGCATGAATATATTGTACAACACGAGTAATACTTTACCAATTTATTTGAAAGATCCAAAAGGGGGCCCCAGAGCAAAGCATGTACAAAAGAGAATAAAACTGCTGTTATCTTGCACTGAAGCCTGACGTTTACAACCAAAAATGGACATTGCTGCTGAATCCTGGGGAGGGCCAAAGAGTCTATTGGGTAAGAGGTGGGGTAAGATCTCGTAATTATGAGATCCTTTCTCGTAGTTACGACATGCTAGCATAACAACAATAACAACAACTCAAGCATGCACGTCAGCCATGTCAGTTTTGCTGTTGCCACGGTAACGACAGCACATGAAAAAAACAAAGCAACAGTCGTAAATAAACGTCACAAATAAAGTTAGTAATTTATTCCTAGATATTTAAATGTACCTATTCGTACGAGGCTGAAGTTGGTTTTGAGTGGTTTTGAGTGATCAGAATGCGAAAAATGCAGTGAAATCGTCCTTTGTGCCACTCCCGAATAGAATCTGTATGAGATTGTTCATTAATGTGCACTGTCCTGATTAAATAAATAAATAAATAAACTGTGATTCGGAGCCAACTTCAGTCTCCTTTATATTATATGGAAAGCATGCTATATATAGCATGTTGTAATGAGAAAAGATGGATACGGGTCCATTTTTTTTCAGTGAATGCAATGCGCTTCCGTACAAGTAAACCATTCAGAGCAATTTTGAATTATCAGCTAATGTGACATGTTAAGGGAAGAATGAGAAGCTGGATAAGATAATCTAGCCTTGGCAAAAAAAGTATTTTCCAAATTAGGATCCTGATGACCTAATTTTTTTGTCTTTCTCTCCTCAGATGATGATAGCAGGAGGAATCCGCTCCAACATAGGCATCCGCACACGTCCCTGGACCACCACTCCCAGCACTGACTGGTGGGAGAGAATAGTGATGACAGAATTCCAGCCCTCCGATTGGCTGGACAAGTTCCGGATGAGTCGCGAGACGTTTTTCTACCTCTGTGACAAGCTGAGGCCCCGTTTGGCTCGCCAGGACACGAGCTTCCGCTTGGCGCTGCCAGTGGAGAAACGCGTTGCCGTGGCTCTTTGGCGTCTGGCGTCGAACGTGGAGTACCGCACCATCAGCAGCCTGTTTGGAGTGGGAAAGTCCACTGTGTGCAGGTGTGTCAGAGACATGTGTCACGCCATCGTGGCGCTCCTCAGCCCCGTCTACCTGCGGCCCCCCGCCGAACAAGAGCTGGTGGAGTCGGCCCAGCTCTTCCAGTCATACTGGGGTTTCCCTCACTGTGTTGCTGCCGTGGCGACTCTTCACACCGCCATCATCACCCCATCCAGCAACGTGTCTGACTACGCCAACCCTGCTGGCTGGCTGTCCGTGCTGTCTCAGGTAGAGAAGGCATCCAGCTACACGCTCGCCGTCACTTCACGTTAAGACTACCCGCCGCTTTCTGTCTGCGCTGCTTTAGGTGGTTGTCAGTGGCAAGGGGCACTTCTGGGACGTATGCGCCAGTTTCCCAGGTGGGACGGATCCAAGCGACATCTTACAGAACTCCTCGCTGTGGGCCACAGCTTCAGAGGGTGGGCTGTCACCTGTACCCCCTCCTATCTTCATGGGAAAACCATTAAGGTACTGTTAGTGTAAAATCGCATTTAGTAGCTTCAATTGGCACTCGGCCCAATAATGGAACTACAAACAATTACAAAGAGATGCAAAACAGCCATAAAAAAGGCTGTAAGGTGATACAGTGACTTGTGTGAAACCCATACCAAATTTATATTTAGAATAAACAATAATGGTGTGTAAGTAAGTGTCGAATTAAGCATTCAATCTGACAACCACAAAGAGAGGGAAAATCATCCCAAAATGATAGAAAATATCTTAGAGATCAGATGATACCTGCGTGGTCTTGTTGTTCTAAAGCCCATCCTGACTCAGATCCCTTTCTCCTCTCCAGGTACATGCTGCTGGGGGAGGATTGCTACCCTCTCCAGAGCTGGCTGATGAAGGCCTATCCCGAGGAGAGGAGCCGGAGGGCGGGTCACGCCGCGCTGACGGTGTCGCAGCGGCTGTTTAACCGGCAGCTGAGGCGAGCCCTGCGTGTGTCGGAGGCGGCGCTGCTGCGGCTGAGGGCACGCTGGCAGTGCCTGAGCAAAAGGAACGACTGCGGGCTGGACGTGGTACCCACAATGATCCTGGCTTGCTGCATTCTCCACAACATGTGCGAGTCCCACGGGGATGCGTCCAGAGCCGAGTGGCAGGAAGAGGTCGCCAAGGCAGAGAGCCCCCAACCCCGCCACAAAGCGCACGCTGCTGCCAGCATGGACCAAAGTCATGCTGAGGAGACCAGAGCTCTCTTCTGTGACTTATTTGAACAGCAAAGTAAAATGTCTGGAATCATATAAGATCAAACAACTTGCTGTCCTGTTAATATAGTTATGTCCAGAGTGGATGTGCTTATCCATCACCAGTGTTGATGCTTGAGCTAACTGTTTACAGCTCAAACTGAAATGGCTACAGATGACAAAGCTACTGTTGTAAATCAAGAAATGTTTTGTATGCTCAGTTTGAATTAGACAAAAGGTTTTTTGTGGGTCTAGGGTCTGAACTGCTGGCAGCTTCAGGTTCGCACCCAGACATTTTATACTGCACAGCTGGTCTGTTTTGAGATGTGGAGAATGGGGTTTGGTATCAATTTAGGCTTTAATCTAAAAAAAAAAAAAGTCCAGATGACAGCATATGTTGCCCCAAAACCTGTTAATGTCCCATTGTGTTTATTAAAAAGACATTTTAACCATGCTCTCTCACTTTGTAAACTTGTGCTGCAGTGCTGTGTAAAGATTCAAATTTTATTCCAAATCAGAGTCGCTCTCAAATGTTTTCTTCTGATTATTGCTTATTTAATTTGCATGATTTTCTTACTAACTAAGCCAATAATAACATGATGATGGATACGGGCAATGGGCAGATATGGGGTCAGTTGCATACGGTTTGAAATGTGTTTGCATACTTCCAAACTGTTGTGGGGCATTTCAACTCTGTATTTGTTTAATTCCAAGCTTCCTCTTTATTTGTATGAGCTTAAAAGAAGACGCAACACATTGTATGCAATTATACTGCCCGGCCACAAGATATCGCTGCCACCCCAGCACACCTCCAGCAAATTTGGTTCAGGGCAGTTATTGGTCAGATGTATTAAATCGCCTGGCTTCTTGTAAACTAACAGGTTGTACAATTATTTTCCTATTTCAAATAATATTGACCTAAAATAAACACCAGATACAACTGATAGATTTTTTTTTTTTTTTAAATTTTCTTTTTTTTTTTCTTTGGGTTTTCCCCCCCCCCCCCCCTCCCATCTCATCGACCCAACTTGTGCGCTCTGAGACAGATCCCACCCCGAGACCCGCCTCGTTCATTCAATTGGTCTGCCCCAAATCTGCTTCATGCAGTCGGCCGTCTGTCAGTCAACACCACGCTATCCTCCTCCTCGCTTTTTTGGCATCATCCTGGTGTGTGCCCACCTCGTTCCAGCGACGAGCGACTCGACACCCTTCCGTTTGAAGTGCACGCATATGCCGCAAAAAAAAAAAGCCGCCGGTTTGGCTCGCGTTCCCTCCGTGTATTCCTCGCTCCAGTCTTAGCTTTTGCGCTTTACCGTCAAGATGAGTCAGGATGTGATGGGGTGCTGCCCTGTTGTTGCTAGCTAGGCGGACAAATTCCTTCAACCATCCTGCCGTTTCAATCACTGCGGGCTGACACTACATTAGCCGAGGCGCTGTTTGGTGAGCTAGCGGGCTAGCAGGGCAGCTTTCCAGGCTGTTAGGTCTAATTTAGCAAACACTAGCAGATGTAGTTGGACAAACGTCGGAGAGGCTGCACCGACATCAGCTACCACGGCTTTGGACACCGCGACACTGCAGGTTTGATCCACTTTTGGCGGATTGAGAGGATTGAATAAGACGCCAGTGACAGACGGAAAGATAGAATCGGACCTCCAAGTGACACAAGGGGTTAATGAAATAAACAGGTAGTAAGTGGCTAATCTGCGATACAATTTTTTTTTTTTTTTACCTCCAGTTTTATTGTGAGACGTGCTGCCAGAGCAACTCCCGGAGGCCTCCCAGTCTCTTGGCTCCCTCTCCTGTCCGAATCTCCCGTGATTTGCGGTGAGCACCCGGGTGAAGTCGCAGTTTTTCTCGGCTGGGGGGACAACTTGACAGCGAGGCCCCTGGCTAGTCTCCCCTCCCCCAGTCCTGTCCAACCATCCGTCCAGCCCGACTGGCCACTTCCTCGCTCGAGAGATCCAAGCGAGGACCGGGGATTCGGGAGAAGCTGCAACCGTGAGCAAGTGCTTGTCAAGTCCCGTTTGAACCGGGCTGCCAAAACCAGAGGGGATGACTCTGGAGTCCATGATGGCTTGCTGCCTGAGCGAGGAGGCGAAGGAGTCGAAACGAATCAATGCAGAAATTGACAAACAACTCCGCCGAGACAAGCGAGACTCCAGGAGGGAGCTCAAATTATTACTACTCGGTATGTAGCCCAGAAATTCTCAAGTATCTTTTCAACCGTCTGGGTTTTCTGCCCCTAAATGCACAACTAACATTATCAGGCCTTCTTGGCAATGCTAGCAAACATGCTACCAAGGCTGCTAGCTGACAGCCTGGTTTGGGTGTAAGGAACGTTTTTAGCCTGGTTTTACAGAGTGCATGGTGTGTGGCCTCGCTGGGCGAGTTAACATTAGTTAGCTGGCTTTTCCAGGTGCGTATCTACGAGAGCCACGGCCGTATAAAGAGATAACGGGCCTCAGGGGCACAGGCTGACAAAAGGCCCCCCTATTTGTCACACCGAAAATTGAGACACCCGATTTAAAAGTACCACAACGCAACCGCACAGTGTGCAGAAACGGCGTGGGGTCTGGTCGCGCCTCCATCTGTGTGTGTGACGTGCTTTAACGTCGAAATTTAAGCACTGAGCCTGCCATGCTTACAAGCACAACAGGGAAATGGGTGTAGAATTTGAATGAGGTAAAATAACAGGCCACGCTGTAGCCTTTTTTTCCCCTGTTTGATATCAAAGAAAACCAAATGTGATTTGTTTTTTTAAAGCTACATTTAATGAAGCCATTATCTAATTCCACACACCTAATACTACAGAGTTTTGAAATGCATTGGCAATCTTGTGTTATGCATCTAATCAAATTATTTCATTTCAGTTATTTGATTTAAAAAAATAGCAGCCCTGCCATGTGCATCATTAGCTTTTTTTTTCATGAGGGTTTTTTTTTGGTCACGTGTCATATTTTGAACATTTAACACTTCTCTGCAATTGTTTATGTCACGTTTCCTTCCTATAATGGCTGCTTTGTGTTTCCTTGGTTACTTTTTAAACCCTTTATGGATACTTGCATTCAGTTTGGCTAGTTTCCTCGGACTTTGGAGTCATTTGTGGCTCTTTTTGGCCGTTCTGTGTGCTCGATTTTGCTTGTGAGTGAGCAGCGAGCCTCAAGCGCTTTGGCTGTGCTTAAATCTGTCATTTCCCTCAACAGTCGAGTGGCACTGTTGCATTAGCTGCTTCTTTGGTGCAGTCGGAAGCTGCAGGGAGAGGCAGCTTGACCACTGAGGAGAGGAGAAGTTGCCTTACATGCTGCTTTGCTCTCATTCTGCTAATCAATACACACTAATGAAACCATTGTAAATGACTTGGCTTGGCCATATTGTTCGGTTTCTTCCTCTGATGCAGTGGTGGCCTTGCTAGTGTGGCCAAAACTGTAGTGGACATGTAAACTGGTTCTGTTCTTATTGAGTCATATATTTTCTTTCTACATCTTCAGAGCCTTCCATCTCTGATATAAAGAAGCTGTGATGAATAGATGCACTGTTTCACCCTTTTTGGTCCCTGGAAGATGGAGCAAGCAGAGGCTTTAGGTTGCATAATGTTATACAAAAAGGGAAGCCTTTTAGTGCCTCACCTTGTCCTCAAGTGGCGTCCAACCCTGCTATTGTTGTGTTATTTAGTAAGCACCCGAAGTCGCAAGTCTACCCTTCCAGAGGACAAGGATACTGAGGGATTTGCCCCCTCATCCTGGAGTCTAGCTGAGTAGGTTAGCTATTTTTATAGCCTGTGTGTGGGCAGGTGGGAGCTGCTGTTGAATAAGTTGCTCTGCGCTGCATTGATTCATAGTTCTTGTGGACTAACAAAAAGCTAACAGAAGGCTATGATTTATCACAAATGTGCTTGTTCTCCTTTACAGGAACATATACATTATTGTCGAGCATTTTGGCATGATGGTGGCATGCCTGACTCTTCCAAGCTTATCAGGGAGAGATGGGAAAAAGAAAGAGGGGTCAGGTGTCCATTTTTAGGACAATTAGAATTATCTAGGTTGCATCCTTAGTTTCAAAACGTTTGCTCCCATTTCTCACCCACCAAAAGCAGCCCTGGTTATTTGACATGTGTGTCTCCTTTTATTTCCCCGCTGAATACCTCAGCTCAGTAAAGTAGGCCACACTAGAGCCACACCATTGGTGGGATATGTTCTGTGTAATATATTACATTCGAAGAGCTGTTTCCCTCTTTTACCTTGTCAAGATAAGCAGGGGCTCGCTTTAGGGCTGCTTCGGAAAGTTTGTGGGTTCAAATGATATTTCCTTAACCAGATCACAAGTAAAGGCCTGACTGTGCAGTGTATTTAAGAATCGGGTTAAAATGTATACTTTCAGAACTCTGCCTGAGACTTTATTCTTGGACACTGTTTGTCTCTCCATCGCCAACATGACTCGGATTTTATGGCCGACATTAAAAACCATTTATCAAACTGTCAGTGTGAAAGACGGAAAGCAAACAAGAACTGCAATTAGTCATCCTGTAAGAGGACCATCCTGCGTGAGTCTGTTAGCGGGTGCCTGGATAAGGAGGTGTTGGGCAGGATTAGTCCAGGTTTTAATAGGCTTGGTTAAACACATCTGCTGCTCAGACTCTTAGAAGTCACTGACTCCTATTATCCCCTGGCGTTATTCTCAGGGCCACAGCCCTAAGCTGTGAGCTGCCGTCTTCCTCCACACCCCGATGGAGGAAGACGGAGCTTTCTGTTTCGGAACATTTAACCGTAGATGCAACACCAGCAGCAGTTTTGGAGAGCTTTGTTTTCGGGTGCTGCGCACACTTGGACCTAATCTGTCAGCAGAATTTTGCTGTGGTTGGTCATTGACAAAATGGAAAAACTGAAAAACCTCCTTGGCTCTGGCGGCTTTGTGGCACTTTTAGGTCAGAATGTTACCACGCCTGACTCTGACGTAAAATGAGACTTTTGTCACTTTTAAGCTTGATTTGTTGGACGATTTGCTCAAAAAAGTTACATGCATTCGCATTGTATCTCTTTAAAAAAGAAAGCAAATTTGAGTCTTTTTCTGTCTTTCTTAGATTGATCATTTTTGGGGAGGACAGATTACAATAAACTTCTATTATCAGTTCAAGCAAATATTCATAATGTAATTCTTTAAAGAAAAATCCATTCTGTCTTCTTTATTCTAAGGAATTTTCAAAGTCTTTTAGCTGCTTCCGCGATGCCTCTCGCTGCACATGTCCTTTGCGCACCAACAAATCCTCACTTACACAGAGCAACCCGTTTAATAATGGGTTCAGAGCGCCACGGTTTCATTTTGTCTGAAAGGGCCATTACGCAGTCAGTGTCACCCCTCAGCTCCACATTAAGTGTTTTGTTACTCTACGGAGGGTGAACATTGATTTAAAAGCTGCATTTTGAGTAAATGTTGGAGTTTTTCTGCCATTCCATTCTTGGGTGAATGCGTTTTAGTGTCCAATGTGTTAGATTTGGTATCGGTTGGATGTTGGCACGTTAAGAACAAAATCTGAGTAGAATTGGATTATGCTGGAAGGATTCATCCACATTATAGATGGCGTCCATACTTTACCAAGGATTACATTAGTTTCTCCTAGTTTCAGTCTTTCACCTCAGGAAAATTGAAGTTTTTAGAATCTAATTAATCAATTGCGGGGAAAAAATGATATTATTGTTTCTACTCATCTAAATAAATGAAGAGAAATTCCTTTAAAAAAAGTGTTCCCTTTGTATCAGAATTAGTTTGTTTAATCTGAACAGAGGTAAGAAATATTAACAGAAGACAAAGAGGCTTTAATGCAAAAGCACAACAAATAACCCCTTTCTGAGAATTCGGAAGTCTTTTCTCAGATGAGATTTACTGTGTGGCCACCAGTGTGCATTACTAGAATACCAATGTTCTGAAAAAACAAAACAAAACAGAAAATCAAAGATCTGCTTTGATTTTCATACCAGACTCAGACATTTCTATTCTGTGAACACAGAGTGTGAACGTTAACCACTTATTCACCAGCCGACACCTCTGCAGCAGTGCCCACAGTCTGGCTGCCCGTCACACAGGGCCATATCGGGCTATACTGACCACTTCCTGCTCCACAGACCGATGATTTTCCTCTACTTGGTCAAAACACGGTGGTCCCAGAGCTCTGGACTCTGCTGCGCTGGGTAAATGATCTGGTGGAGCTGTCAGTAAAATGGGATGGTCCGGTAAATAGTTTTAGGTTTCCCAAACAAGTAGAGCCCTCATTGCATCAGCTGGCACTGAGGACCGCCCCCCCCCTCCCCCCTCCTAATGATTATAGGGGTTTCACAGCAGCATTAAGGTGGAACTGAATCCTGTTTACTTGTTTATTTAACATATCTGGCGATACCAGGAAGGCACGTGTGATCCTCAGAGGCTTTGTGAGGCGTAGCACGTTGTCGCCACATTGATCTGAGGTTTTGGCGTTGCCCGCTGATTCTCTTCATGTTCGCAGTGCTTCGAGTTTCTGGGTTAAGAAATCCTTTACAGGAGCAGCTTGATTGAACCAGGAAGAGGATCAGAGGTTAGGCTCGGATGTTCATTGCTGACCTCACTCCTGTTGCCAAGCCCTGTTATTTTGTTCTTATATGGCAATATGGATGTCTTTAGCTCTTATTCCTCAGTGGTTGAGTGTGTCCTCTGAGTATGTGTGCTAGCACGGTTTAATACCAGCCAAAGCTGAGCGGCATGACTGAAATCTCTCCACAATGAGACATGTTCTGCATATGAGGCGAAATATCCCGAGAACGATGCTGTCAATTTAGAACAATCAGTTTAATATTAGAAGGAGAAGCTGAGAGAGAAATGCATCAGTATTTGCCAATCATTTACCTTCGAGCCACCAGTCAAACCAGTTTCAATGAAGGATGAACATGGAGGAGGTTGGTCATTATGTCTGTTCGGTGGCTGATATCTGACATTAAACTCTTGTTGTTTTTTGTTTAGGTTTCTGACACTAATAAAGAGAAACTACTGGATCAGACTTGTTATTATGCATTTTAGAGTATAGGTGTGGCTTTTGTCATTTTAAAATGAGATGCAATACATTACTACATGGCCCTACATGGCTTTGCTCAATAAATGCAGGCTTATGGGAACTTCCTTTTTCTTTTTTCACTCTTAAAAAGCTGCGCCTTCAGCGGCAGCATCATTAAAGGGATGTGACCTTTAGTCTGGCTGTAGGGTGCAGGCTAAGCCGCTCACGTGAAGTGAAAACAAGGCTTTAAAAGCCCAGTGAAACCTGGAGTTCTGTGAAAGTTGCCACATGCTTTGATTATTCTCTTCTGCTACTTAACATGAAATTAAATTGATCACATTTATTGATGGATAATTCTGTGTGGGAAAAACAAACAAACATTTGCCCACAAATGCTGATTGTTTACTCATAGATCTGTTCTGTTTTTTAATTGCATGATCTTGTAGAATAATCTCACGTTGCAATTGTCCAGTTTTGATTTTCACAGGGGTTGATGATTCTTTCTACTGGACAGTGATGTTTAAAAGGGCTGAAAATAAGGAGAGGGAGGGAAGGAATGTCAGGAAACAAAGGTCCTTGGCCAGCCCTTCCAGCGTGAATAGTGTAACAAAGTTTGGGTTCCTTGTGATTTAGGAGAAACAAAAATTAAATTTGTTTATTCGATGTTCTTTGTGCCTCAGATCACCTGAGAGGCTGAGAGCAGTTTTCTGTCGTCTTTGTGGCAGAGAACATTTTAAAGATTCCTCGAGGAAATGGCAGTCTTCTAAGAAACTTTTTTTTTTCTCTCACAGATGTGCTCTTCAGGTGTGTGTCAGGCTCGACATTTCCATGAAAAAAAAAGCTCTTTTTAAATGTAGCAAACCATCGTAATAACAATACAGCGACTGGCGGTAAAGAATGCTTTTGAAAATGTTTCTTTGCATGTCACTGTGAGCCTGTGGGACCACCCGCCACTGCCTTAGTGTTGAGGTCTGCGCACATAGATAGCTCTTCATTGCTGGAGTCTCCATCTGCGCCCCTTTTTCTGGTTCCTCTCAGCCGGCCACACACCCATCCTTTGTCTCTCTCTCTCTGTGACACTGTGTCTTTTACACAGTTGACTCACTGGAGTACAGATGAACACACGCGTTCTTAAAAGGGGTCACTGCCGGCTCCCTGGAGATTGGAGGGCGCATGAGGTTGGATGGTGGCTGTCCCACATACGGCCGGTACCCCGGTCCCCAGGCAGGACGGGGACAGGGCCAGCGTCTCTGCCTGCTGCCGGCTGTGTGGGCAGCCCTGCCGGCGGTGACTTGATGGCTGGCTTGTTCGGCTCGCTCCCGCCAGCCGCCGTGCACGGTGCATCGCACACTTTTCTGTAATCATCTACTTGTGTTACTTAATGGATTTGAAAAGCCGGTCCCCGCTCCACACCAAGCCACTTTGTGGAAGCGGAACTCCAGCTCGAGATTCCTTAAAGAGAGAGCAATGGCCAGTGAAGTAATCCCACCATCCTGGACTCGGCTGTTTTTTTGGTGTGAGCAGCTGAGCACTGTGTGTATCTGAATGTTTAACAGAAAACCTAACGCAGCCTTGCTCAGACAAGGCCGCTCTACACCGGTCTTGCGGACTGTGTGTGTGTATGTGCGCGTATGTGTGTTATGTATGTGCGACGCGTGTTAGAGCATGCATCTTCGATTCACAGCTCCGACACCCACGCGTGTGCAGCGCTCGGCAGATGCTGAGACATCAGCACAAAGCGGCAGATCCTGGCTGCGGCGTGCTGTTGGTGCCCATTGTGTTCCCTTCAATTGTTCTTTTACTGTGCCGTCGTGCTTGTGTGTTAGGAGCTGCTGGCAGTCTGCGCGGCCTAAGTCATTGTAGGAAACGTTGGGGAAGAAATTGGGCCGTGACGGTGGGGGTAACATCCGTGCCTTGAGGTTGACCACAGGATCTGTGTGTGTCCACAGTTGGTTAGGCAGGTGGTGTGTGTCTTGTGTTGCTCCAGGCTGTCTTGGCTCAGCCTCTTCTTCTTCTTCTTCTTTTTTTTTTCTAATGCCAGAAAAAGGCAAGTTAGCAAGATGCGTTTAGTGAAAGATTAAGACTCGGTTAGCCTTGTGCCTGTCTGATTCATGCAGCCTCTTTCCAAAGTGTTAAAAGAAACGCTAACGCCTGCCTGGGTCCGCTGTTCAGGATTTGATCAGCTCCAATCTCCACTATTTATGCAAATGTGCTGTGAATGGATTGCTATGTGCAGCCTCAGAGGTTGGTTCATAAACCCAGATAAGCCACCACTGAACATACCAGCCGGCCATTATATTTGTGTGTATTTGCATGTGGGTTTGCCGTGATGCTGATATTGGGATGGGCGCCACAAGCACGCGGCGGGCATTGCAGCAGGACGCCTGGTTTAGCTGAGATGGCCTTGCTTGTGGCCACCCATGTCTGGGTCTGACGCAGGATGGGAGAATTATAGGATATGAGCGGGCCGTGTCAAACAGATTGGCTCTGTGCACACACGCCTAACAGTGTGGCAATCTGTCCTCCACCAAAACCGCTTCACTGTGACAGCTGTGGATCACTTCTATCAGGTAACGTGTCGCAAGCTGACATCAGTTGCATTATGTAAAGGCTTATGAAAGCTAGTCTCTCAGTGGAGGATGCAGGTGAAGTGTTTGGTGCCTTCACACGATGGATATGTGAACCACTGCCAGGTTTTGTTTTTTTTTCACCTCCCCGGTCCTTCTAATCGGAGTATTCGGGGGACGTTTTAATTGAAAGCTCATTGTCGTCAGGTTTGCCTCGATAAAGACTCCACAATAGACCAGTGTTGGCATGTGGGCTGTGTATTGTACCTTCCACTGTTGCATTGGGACATAATCTCCGCTCCCTTTTTCTTTTCCTCTCTCGCACTCCTAGCTGCTAAGAACAGAAAACGTTATCAAGCCGAAGTAGTGTGTGAGCTATTAAAAGGTGACCTCCTTTTTCTAGGTCATTACCAAAAAAGAAAGAATGGATTCTACTTATGAATATCCAAAATTCTTGACGGATAGGGATGAGAATGGAGAGGCATATTGATTGCCTCGGGGAGGTTAGGAGGGGTTGTGATGAAATGGACCGGGGGGAGTGTGCGTGCGTGGGTGTGTGTGTGGGGTGGGGGCTGTTGGTAGGGGCACAGAAACGGTTGTGGCTGGCACTGGTGCAAACTGGGGAGGAAAAGGGAAAGACAGAGGCACGCAGTGTGTTGTCTGGTCAAAGGGGGACATGATGGTTACGAGAGCACAGCGGAGGGAGATCTTGTGACAGGGTCACGAGAAATAAATCAGACATTGAACTAAGGAGCAATCTTCCTGCTCCGCTGCAGAAGCCGGCTGCCGTCATTACGAGGAGAGCCCCTCGCAAAGAATACGTCCTGTGTTTCACTCAGTTTTTCTTTTTTTTTAACTTTCACTAAACAATCTGCTTTTCCATGTGTGCACCAGTGTGTAGCTCCAAATGCAGAGCGAAGATTCGTCCGCGCTCCGAGAGCGGCCCATCCCCCCCCCCCCCCAACCCCTTTATTAAGCAGCAACGCTTGAAGACCAAACTTTCGTGTTTGAGATTAAGATATCGCCTCTTGTGTGTGAAAGGAAGCGGCTACCATTCCCAACCTGCTACTGACCTCAGAACAGAAAAAACAAAAAAACTGCACATCTCAGTGGAGCTCAGGCCTCTTCTCCTCTGTTGTACACCAGAAGATGAAGAGCGCAGAGCAAGCCTGGGGGGCTCTCGGTTATATTTACTGTCTGCTACGAAAGAGAGGAGAGAGAAGGGGCGGATGGGAGGGGTTTAAAAAAAGAAGGGGGAAAAAAAACCACACAGGAACGAAAAAAGCGAGGGAGACAGAGGAGGGGTTGCCATGGTAACGGAAATATGGCTGCTCTTCAAAAACCTTGAATGTAGGTGGTTGTGAGATGAGTGTATGTGTGTGCATTCCTTTTTTTTTTCCTTTTTCTTTTTCCCACCTCAGCTCTCCCTTTCAGTATTGCAGATATTATAGATGTGATGGATCTCTTCTTTTTATTATTATTTATTTATCTTTTTCTCCTTTCATATCGCCGAGAAACCAAAATGCCATTTTTTATCTTTATTTTTTTTCGTCGACTGAAGCTAGTATATCAAAGTGGTATGTAGAACATAGAGTGACAAGTGTGATTGTATGGGTTATTCCCAGCTGACCACTTTCCAAAAATGATATCTAGCTTTCATTGTGGGTTTGGAGCTGCTTAAAACCAGTCAGACTTCAACCCACTTAAACCTACCGGACGTGTCTTTAAAACCAAGACTCGTCTTAAACTCTTTGAGCTCATATATGTTAAACTGCGAAGCAAGCCGGACATGTTTCATTGATCTTGGATCCAGATATGGACTGAGGAGGAAGGAAACCCTTTGACAGTCACCCCTCTTTCCACCTTTTGGCAGATATAGCCCTGAAAACATATATATGTGTATATATTGGGCAGATTGTCTTAATCATCTTCATTCAATTAGCATCAATTTACCACCCACTCGTCTGTCTTCCTTCTTCTTCCTTGAAGCATTTTTGATTTGTTCGCTTTCCAAACTGTGAGACCACTTCCTGACGAGGGACAAAGAAGCTTTGACAAACTCCTTGTCATAACCAGTTTAGTTAATAAGGCTGGAATGTCAGTAGAATGATTTCATAACGCATAAATCTGACATAGTCGAGCGGCAGATATTAGCGATTTGAGAGGCGTGCACACTCATAAGCTGGTCGTATTCGTGCTGATAATGTTGCTTGTTGATGAACTGAGATAAGGACCCAGCAGCTGCAGATCAGGCAGGAACTTTCTGCAGCGTGGACAGTATAACTTTCAGCCACATGTGGTGCTTGTGGAATAGCAGCTTTTTAAGATGCAGAGGGACTTACGTTCAGATGAGGAATCTTCTGTCAAACTTCAAACAAAGTTCCAGTGACATAAGCTAACATCAGACCCCTTACACTAGCATGTCACCTCCAGGGAGGTTCTTAACTTTGACTGCAGAAAATGTGACAGCTTTGCATACTTTTTTCACAGAACACCGTGCTCACTGCCCCTGCTTTAAAATGTGAACATCCCAGACCAACAGCTCAAAATCATCAAACACCAATAGCTTGTCTTTACAGCTTAAATTTAGGGGTGATGAGTACAAATCTGAAATGTTAGTGCCTCTGCCGGAGTGACCCTGCTCTGTACAGAACATTCTGAATGCTACATGCAGTAGAGCTGCCTCTGAAGTCCACAAATCACATGTAAGGGCTACTTGACGAGCGGTGGTGGAGTGCAGGGTATGCGTGGGTATGTGGAGAGTACCCATTTATATTTTCAGTCACCGTACAGTATACCTACTTCCATCTCCCCTCTGATCCGCACCGTGTTCAGAATTGTTCTGCAAGTCAAGACATAAGCTTTCCCCCTCTGCCGCTCTTTAGCTTGTAATTGCTGCATTTGTTGGATGGATTAGTTAGATTGAGGCATTCTGCTATCTGCATGTCAAGTAGCAGAAGATGGGACAGAGTGCCAGATACTTTTGGATCTTTTTTTTTTTATCAACTAAATGTTTGAAGAGACTGTCACTGTAAATTTTCACATGTTAAAACTTAACCTCTGTCTCTGTGTGATGCGGTCATCTCAGGTACGGGGGAAAGTGGAAAGAGCACCTTCATCAAGCAGATGAGGATCATTCATGGCGCTGGCTACTCTGATGAAGATAAAAGAGGCTTCATTCGCCTGGTTTACCAAAACATCTTCACCTCCATGCAGTCCATGATCCGCGCCACTGAGACCCTCAAGATCCCGTACAAGTTTGAACAGAACCGGGTAAGGCCTGGCCTTGGGAAGACTTGTTTCTGTGCTGTGCCAGTTAGGGTAAAATCAGTTTCCAAATGAGAAATGTTGTGAATCGAAAAGGAACTCGGTTTAGCGCGAATATTTGACAACATGAAACGACACTCCATGTGGGCTACAATTGCAAGAAAAGGAGATTCGTCTCCTGCCTTTGGTACTGCTTTGCTAACTCTTATTCAGATCATTGATCCTTTAGAAGAACCCATGGCCATAAGATATAAGTTGAGGTAGCTCTCTGCTCCATTATGGAAAAGAGAATGTATTAGCGCTGTAGCTAAGGTCAGAGCTCTGTGCTCCTTTAAGTGCAGCATGAAAGGTTAAGAGTAAAAAGATTTGCCCAAAGTAAAAGTCACCACCTTGATTTCACTAAGCAAACAGGTAAAACCCTCTCAATGGGAAAAGTATGCAGGGGGTCACTTCTCACTCCTTAAAGAACCACACTGGACGTCACTGCCTATGGTTGTAGAAGAAATACTGTTACTGTGTCAGAAGGGCCAAACTGCTGCTCTGCATCCAGCGAAAGGAAAAGATCATTTAACGATGACCAAAACTTTTTAAAAATCGGGGTAAGTCTCCAGCATGTTGATTAAACCTCGGAGCGACCTCCAGGTATGGGAACTAGATAAAGGCAGACCTATCAAAGCTCTTGCTGTGAGACTGGCTGAGAGGGATACAGGTTTAGATAGAGCAGTTAGAAAAGGTCCTAGTGGAGATGTGTCCGGCTCCAGAGTGATGAGAAGAGCAGCGAGTGCTGAACGTCTTGTACCCATAATGCCCGTCGCCTACCGTAAAACCCTGGGGGGGCAGCATTGAGATCTTGTGCTGCCATAGCTGGTCTGATCTTGGTGCAGCTCGATTATGCGCCCCAAAGAAATCAGCTCAGCTGACTACCTGAATGTACTTAATGCCAATGCTTTTTCATGAATAGGTTTATTTATTTATTTTCCACCCAGACGATGCAGACGTACTCCCAAGACGATAATGACCAGATTCACGAGGCTCAGATTGTGAAAGAAGGGTTCTGTTTGCATGTGATGTCATTCTTACACATGGAGTTTCACCAGAGTGTGACCTCACTGAAAGTCTTTGGGGTGTGCGTGGGAAGACATAATGCCGGGCCAAACTTTTCCATGGTGGAAACATCTCAGTGAAGCAGCCCTAGACGGAAGTGATACAGTGGCCCTGCGTATTCCTATCAAACCCATATCAGAGCCACAGAGTGTTGGTCTGGGACTCTGACGTGCTGGCCGGGCCGTATATTAGCCCAATTTGTTATTAGATCCAGTGAAAATTACTTAAAAATGATAAACCAAACTGTAAAAATGTACAATAGTTTGGTTCTTTTTTGTTCTCCATTCATCCTGATGCGCTGCAAGAGGGTAGCCCGCTTTAGTGCTTAGTTTCGGAGAAATGTGCGGCGAACAGAAAGTCATGCATGTAGGCTGTCTAGCGAAAACATTTTGGAGGAAACAGACTAGGTAGGTGGTAAGAATTGGCCATGTACGCTGACAGACGGTGAAAAAAGCTAAATATATATATAAAAAAATCTTCAGCTTTGGTTGAACTGAAATCTTTCCGGTTGATGTGCTCATCACCATTTCTCCACCGTGTTTTCTGCCTCTTATCTTTTCTTCTGCGTGTGTCTGTCCAGGCCAACGCCATTCTCGTGAAGGATGTGGATATTGAGAAGCTCAATGGCTTTGACCAGCCCTACATTGTAGCTATTAAAACCCTGTGGTCTGACCCGGGGATCCAGGAGGCCTACGACCGCCGCAGGGAGTACCAGCTCTCTGACTCCACTAAATAGTACGTCTGTCCATCTTTCAGTGTCTCTGTGGGTATGATGCCCATTTCGGGATTTCACAAGGCACCTGTGAAACTGGCGTGTGTGTGTGTGTGTGTGTATTCTCATCGTGTCTTCGTCTGGGGTGTAGGTTTGCGAAAACATTTATTATTTGTCAGTCTTGTTAAGCTCATTTACAGAAAGTGATGCCCATTGGCTCCCATAGCAAAGTTAGCAAAAATATACTTTCGTTTGCAAATTTGAAATGGACAACAATAAAAGAGAGCTGTTTGATGACTAATAAGTGTCTGTTTCCAAACCAGTATATATACTCAGTCATTTCCTGGTGCTATGCACATTGTTTAATTACATGGCGCTCAACCTTAGTTTGGCAAAGAAACTTGCTTGTGGGAGTCAAAGGGATGTTTTTTTTGCTATAGAAAATTATTGTTGCACGAAGTGACATTTGATGGGTCAGTTCACCAAAATCCCCCTCTTCCCCAACCACCACAAAAAATAACAATTACTGCATTATTTTTGCTTTCATATTTTTTATCTGCTTAGCAAAAGCAGATTTAGCCTAAAAAAAAAAAAAAAGTACAAAATTCCAAAGATTCTGTGTGAGCTGATCCTTAGATTTGAAGTTTCTGTCTTATCTCCATAGAAGATGTGTGTCTGGGTATCATTGGATTGTGTGTCTGTTTAGTTGCAGTTTATTTATTGATTTTATTTGATTTATTTTTCCTCCCCCAAATGTGATTTGTACGTTTCTCTTGTATGTTGGATGGGGCACCACATTAGCAATTAGCCTCCACATTCTAACAGCTGCTTCATGTCCCAGTGTAAGAATTCTGTTTGAAAAATCCACCACACGCAGGCGAGACCGACAGGACCTGGATTCACATTGTTCCTGTTGTGTAGTGAAATGTTCCATTGAGCTCTTTGCAATGGAAGGGAATACATGGCCTGATGGAGAGTTCATGGTGACCCCGAACAACCAATGCAGAGCAGAACAGTGACTTTGAAGCCATGATCCTGCCTGTGATTTCACCCCGGGCATGGACTGCATGCTGTTTGTGTGTGTGAATGGGCTGAGGTTTAGCAGAGGGTCCACATAGTTTGGTGTAATAACATTATAGGCATATTGACTACAGCCTTCTATATAATGCCCAAATTGTATGTTTTGCAGTCTTAATTATAAATTGATAATAAGTGCACGTAACAGTGGTGTGACCCCAGGCTACCCATCTGTAGGCATTTGTCTCACTGTACAGTGCCCCCTGGCTGTCATCTCCCTCAACTGTGGGTTCATTCCGCATGCATGTAGGTGGGTTTGCTGTGTAGTGTTAGATGTGTGTAGCTTCTGTGTGTGTGTGTGTGTGTGTGAGGGGGGGGGGGGATGATTATGTCTCTGAATTTACCTTCATCACAGTGTCACCCATGTTGTTCATGTATTTCTCCAGTTACCTTAGCGATATAGATCGTGTGACAGCGGAGCGATATGTTCCCACCCAGCAGGATGTGCTGCGGGTCCGTGTTCCCACCACGGGTATAATAGAGTACCCGTTTGACCTGGAGAACGTCATCTTCAGGTACCACTAAGGCACCTGGACTGCAGCATCCCCACGACCAGAGGACATAAACCACTGATTGCTGTCAGAACAGAGGCACCGTAGCTCAGCCCAGGAAACGGTTAATGAAATGAAAAAAGGGGGGAAATCAGGGCCCAAAAGTGCACAGCATTTATTTTTGACATTACAGTACCGATTCATAACTTAACCCAGACTATTTGTCCGATTGGGCTTTAAAAAAAAAAAGGGAAAAAAAGTTAATGAGATTTATGTAATCTGATGAGATATCAGTGGTTTGCGTTCCGAATCGTGCCGACATTCTGACCCCGGGATAAAACCTCAGGCCAGACGTGCTGCTGTGAAGCGTGTGGGGAGCAGCCGCAAACTGCCAGATAAAGAAGGATTAGACAGGGATGTCAAGGATTCTCCAGGAACTCATTATGAAAAGCATGAAGCAGCTGTAGGTGAAGTATTGAATAGTTTAACCTTTCGCTGAAAGGTACGCGATCATGGCTTTGTTTAGCAGGCGTAGCAGCCGGGCCTCCTGCCATCCTGGATGTTATCTTGTCCAATCCTTCTTTATACTGGTCCCGGTGCTGCTGAGGTCACTGCTGCTGCCACTGATGCCACCGCACGACCTGCGACTTGACCTCACTGTTATTTGTGTTCAGTTCAAATCAAAACCACAGTAACAAGTTGATGGCAAGTCCCCGAAGTTTTCTGAGTGCTGGTGGAGCAGTGGCACGAACTAACACACTTTGTTTCTGTGATGTGGCTTTTTCTCTGAATCCTCCTCTACAGGACTGATCCACACTTTCCTGGAATGGCAGGGGGTTGCGGTAATTGCCTGTCACGCTTTATATAACTGTTCCTGTCTTTTTTTTTCTCTTCCCTCCTCTCTATCTCTTCCTTCTTTTTTTCCCTGATGGGCCTGCCTGTAGTTATCTTTCGGATCTGGATCGCATTTCAGATTCCAACTATCTTCCCACTCAGCAGGATGTACTCAGGGTGCGCATCCCCACCACAGGAATCATAGAGTACCCCTTCGACTTGCAAAGCATCATTTTCAGGTAGAAAGAGCCTGTTTTAGCTACCTCCATAAATGTTATGTCATGACTTAATCAGTTCATTAAATGTCCTTTCCCCCCCATATTGAATCCCATAAACCACGCTTTTTAATCCTTCCCCATCAATTAATATAACTTCATTTTTTTATTTGTCTGTTTCCACTCCCTGTTCACTTAGTCATAAAAAAAAGTAATTTCTGTCTTATCCTTATACATTTACCTGCTGCCCCTGACAACAGTCACACCACACAGAACACAAGTCCAAATGAAGACAAAGCCCTACATTCTGGTGCCCAGTCTCTGTAAATGGGTCACCTCCTCTTTTCCTCCTCTTCTCTTCCTCTCCTCCCCGGCTGTCACAAGAAACGAGGTCGTCCTCTCCGCTGTGGAAGAATGTTATTTTGAGCAGCAGGTCCTGGAGGGCCTATATTGGCCCTCGGTCTCTGCGGACCACAGTGGACTGGGCCACCACCAGGGGGCACCGTTGCATCGCTGATCACAGCTGATGTTTGTTCGATTCTCTGAGACGCCATGTTGCACCGGTCCGTACGACTGCACCTGTGCATCCAGTGGATCACAAAACTCCTCAAAGCCAGGCATTTAATTATCCCGACCGCATCCACTCGCCGCTTTGACTGGAAAAGTTTCTTGTGTAACCGAATCCGTATTGAAGGCTTAATGAAACTGGGACCTGAGGTCCCTGATGAGTGAGGGATGACATTGTCAAGGAGAAGCTGGGAAAACCTAAAAACTTTTAATAACTCAGACTTTCTGCTGGGTTGTAAGTCAGAATTTCTGTTCTTAAATGGCTTTACTGACTGACAGTTACCCCTGCATGCCCCCAAATAACCCTGTTTCTACTCGTTTTTGTAGTGCTCCTCTGTTTGCCCCCCCCTTGAGCCCCATTTACCTTTTGTCCTTCATTCCCATGTTTCTCGCTCCCCCATCTGCCCTTTCAAAGTCTGTTTCAGAACTTGACAGCTTAAAATTATCATGCACTCCAAGGAAAGCACCACAACCTTCCACCTTAACATTAGCTCTCACACACTGGATTTTCAGCACATTAATCAGCCACAGAGCTCTGTTAGTTTTATTGTGCACACTTTATGTTTTGATCTCAGTAACATGATCACTGGCTTTAATGAGACAGGAAATGCCTGTCAATGAAAAACCACGATATAGGTTAGTTTGATTAAGGTTATAAAATGACACAATTTTCCAAAGTGATTGGCCTTCCTTTTTACAACTCATCACAGACCTGTTTGACACGGTTTGATAAGACACCATGCAGATGTATTATACAAATCTGCATGCTTGCTGTGAGACACTGGAATGCACATTTAAGTCACCTTTAGGTGTTGAATCCACCAAGCGTGTGGTTTGTTTTGTTTTTTAATTCAATTTTGAACAATATGAAACAAAAAGCAAGATTATGATATTTGTTTCATCTGCAGTTTGCAGCCTTTTAGAAAATTTCTGTCCTGATCTTGTACCTCTATCACTGAATATATACACGCTTCCCAGTTATGTGATGCCCGGGGTACATCTTGATGGATTCAAAACCATGACAAAAGCCACAGGAACATTTTCAAACGCCTTTAGAATTCTGTTGAACCAGTTTAACACAGTCACCTTATTTATGTAAACAACACTGGCTTCCAATGTAACGTTTTGCTTTTCTTATCCATATTTCCCCTTCACCTCCATCCTGCCATCAGGATGGTGGATGTGGGAGGTCAGAGGTCAGAGAGGAGGAAGTGGATTCACTGCTTTGAGAATGTCACCTCCATCATGTTTCTTGTGGCGCTCAGTGAGTACGACCAGGTCCTGGTGGAGTCGGACAATGAGGTGAGCGAGGAGAATCCAACACACCACGACCATTTCTGAAATGGAAAGGGAGGTTATTGTGCATGTTGATGTCAGCCCCCAGTCTAATTTCTGTTTCCTAACTTTCGTCATCAGAACCGCATGGAGGAGAGTAAGGCTCTTTTCAGGACTATCATTACCTACCCCTGGTTCCAGAACTCCTCGGTCATCTTGTTCCTCAACAAGAAGGACCTGCTGGAGGAGAAGATCTCCTACTCTCACTTGGTGGATTACTTTCCTGAATTTGATGGTGAGATAATGATCTGTTTGATGGTGTGCAATTTAAAGTTTAGATTTGGACATAAACTAATGATCGTCTTTTAAACAAACCCCAGATTAAGTCCAACATAAATAGTTTCCAAAGTGTGGGCTGACTGTCTATAGAATTATTTTGTCTGCTAACTCTATCTGACAACAGCAGAGATGGAGAATTGTAATGCGACTGACAAAGTTTTGTTAGTCTTAAAAATGATAGACATTGATGGACATGTCCCCGAAGCTCTTTCACCTCATCTGTTAGGAATCAACTAAAAGAACAAAAGCTCTTGTGCAAAAGCATACACGCGGCTTTTTCAATGTCTCTCCAGGTTTTAACAGTTCATTTCTAAGACAATCTGAGACATACTGTGTAATGCTGACACAGATGTGTCTGTCTGTACATTTAAGGTCCCCAGAGAGATGCTCAGGCAGCGCGGGAGTTCATCCTGAAAATGTTTGTGGACTTGAATCCAGACAGCGACAAGATCATCTACTCTCACTTCACCTGTGCCACGGACACTGAGAACATCCGCTTTGTGTTTGCAGCTGTCAAAGACACCATCCTACAGCTCAATCTCAAGGAGTACAACCTGGTGTGAGGGCTTGCGTACGATGCACACCTCCTCCCCATTGCACAAACGCACACCTCTTTGGGAATGTGCTGTCAACTCCACATGCATTACACAGCACACTACTCCGACACACACATCCACACACAATAGAACTATTTTTTTTTTCTCTCTCTCCCCCTTCCCTCGTGCAGTGAATTCACAGATCCTCCCGCCTGCAAACGTGCTCTTCCCCTTTCACCAAAGCCTCTCCCCTCTTCCTCTCTCGGCAGCCTGCTGTGTCAGTCTTCGGCCCTCTCAAAGCTCCTCTGTGTGTCAGATTTGGCCCCGGCTCCTGGCTCTGGCACATTTCTTCTGGCACACAAACCTTTCACATGGGGCTGAACAGTGACTTGAAGAGATTTTTTGGCACGTACAATGCGTGCGTTTAGAGGGGGTCAGCACTGGTCGGCTAGGAGCTGCGTTCTGTCGAAAGAAAAGAAAGAAAATCAAATCCTGAGCCCTTTTTATGAGCTGACCCCTCAGCTGCTTGAGCTCAGATCCTCTGTCGTCTCCTCTCCTGCCGGTGTGGACAGAAGCAAGCACTTAATCTGCTGACATTGTCAGAGGAGCAGCGGGACAGAAGAAGGGATGCGTCAGGGGGACTTGGACGGGATGTGAGGTCACACACCAGACACAGGGCACAGGGGGGACAGAGCCGAGGATTCTGACTCCACCTCACGTCTTATGAATGTACCCCCAGTGTGAGCATCGCAATCGTAAACAATAACAACGAAAAACAACAAAGACAAAAAAAAAGGAAATGTTTATTATGAAGGAAACCCATATGTTAACACTTAAGACAAAAAGCACGAGGGGGCAGAACATAGCTAATCAAAATTTGCTGTTGCTGAGATTTTTTTAAAGCGTTTTTAAATGATAGAAATTTGTTGCAGTGTCCCATTCTATTCAACAAACAACAACTACATAACGAGAGGTGATGAATAAAAAAAGTTGTATTACAAAAATTTGCAAAACCAAGAAACCCTCCCCAAAAAAAAAGTCTACAGTGGCAACAAAAGATTTGCTTGACATAAGTATCCTTTTAAAATCTCAGTTAAAGTTGATCACATGCTTCCCTCCCCCAGATGTGTTTTCTGAATGGGTTTACGGGGACTATCTTCCATGCCACAACGGTCACAACATCTGGCTCCTCTGATGCACGCCAGCACCGCCGGCACGAAACACTAGCGGCAGGTAAAAGGAACCTGCTTTAGAAAGGAAAAAGTGCTCCAACTTGCCGGAAGCACATACGGAGAGGAGCGTGATGTCATCGGCTTTGTCAAAGACGCTAAAGCTGTAATTTAAACACAACCCCACCCCTCCCCCCTTCAGCGGTCCGGTTAGACATGCCTGACCAATA